AAAAAAAAAAAAAAAAAAAAAGAAAAAAAAAAAAAAAAAAAAAAAAAAAAAAAAAAAAAAAAAAAAAAAACAAAAAAAAAAAAAAAAAAAAAAAAAAAAAAAAAAAAAAAAAAAAAAAACAAAAAAAAAAAAAAAAAAAAAAAAAAAAAAAAAAAAAAAAAAAAAAAAGCAGTGTTTCTCCTCATACATAAGGCCATACATTTCAATATTTCACACAATTCACTAAAGTGCATTAAAACATTTGACTGGGTTAAACTGGGATTCATTCTTTTAATCACACCCAAGATTTTATGGTAGAGCAGCATATATCAGAAACACTGCCTCACAAGAGAGCATAGTAATAACGTAACATAGGTATGTCAACACACACAAACCACTGCCACCCACCCCCCCACAGCAACAAACCTCAGAACCTGGGTCTACAGACTTGGGCTCACACTACATAGCTAAAAATAGCAGTGTATGTGTTTGCAGTCCTGCTGGAGCTTGGGCTCTGAAGCTAAGCAAGAGGGGTGGGTTTCTGAGCCCAAGGGAGAACATCTACATTGCTATTTTTACTGCTCTAGTGCAGGGATTCTCAAGCAGGGGTATGCAAAGGTTTCCAAGGGATACCTAGATATTTGCCTAGTTTTCCCAACAGGCTACATAAAAACACTAGGGAAGTCAATACAAACTAAAATTTCATACAATGACTTGCGCACACTGCTCTATGTACTATCCACTGCCATGTAAGTACAATATTTATATTCCAATCGATTTCTTTTATATGGTAAAAATGAGAAAGTAATTTTTCAGTAACAGTGTGCTGTGATACTTTTGCATTCTTATGTCTGATTTTATAAGAAAGTAGTTTTTAGGTGAGGTGAAACCTGGGGGTACGCAAGACAAATCAGACTCCTGAAAGGTGTACGGTCATCTGGAAAGGTTGAGAGCCACTGCTCTAGCGTGAGCCGGAGTCTGTAGTCCCGGACGGTTTATTTTTATTTTTTTGCACTGTAGACATACGTCCCATAAGGCCCCCAATTCCTGCAGCTGAAGGGACTGCCAATGAGCATGCACCCCGGAGCTCACTGTAGGATAGGGGCCCTAGTTATTATAACCCAGAAAAATGGGGTCTTATGCAAACAATTTATTGTGACACTATAATGTTTAAGTGAACAGAAACTCACATAAAACATGTAATTCAAAGCAAATAATCTGAAGATTTTACCCTACCCGCTAAGCATAAAGAAACCCACTGTCATTTTGGACTGTTGATTTTACCACAAAAAGTTATTTAGAAGCTGGATATTAAGAGTCTAGCTACAAGCATAATAGAAACTGTGCAGGTAAAAATAAGATTTCACAGAAAAAACATTACCTTTACAAGTTAGAAAGGTGTTCCAGGTAGGAAGATTCTAGATTTTGTTTAAAGCGCATTCATCCGAAATGGTGTTGAACTATACAACTGTGATAACAGCCCAAGTCATCCACTTCAGTAGAATGATGCAACTTTAGGACAGAATTATAAAAATGTTGTATTACTATGACATTGCTTTACAAAAAATAAGTCTGAATATACTAAGACAAATCATCAGCATGAAATTTAAGACTACTTTCTTAAACTGACATTTTAGATATTCAGTGCTAATAGGACAATTTTAAACAACTGAAAAACCTGAATTGATACAAGAGTCAAAATTAAGTTCATTCGATGCCTTGGGCTCATACTTAAAAATTCTAATTTATATATTGTCAGTAGATCATGTTAAATGGTAATTACCTTCCATAATTAAACATAACACAGAAAACTGAGCACCAAGTACCAGTTTCAGCTATATTAATTTTGCATCATCTTATCCAACATGCTGCAACAACAAACTGCTCTCTTTCAGAGGATTTCTAACATGATCATAAAGACAGCAGGCAGACCAAGTTATAAGTAAATCTTTCTGGATAACATACATATTTCAAAACTGATTGATATCTACTGAGAGATGGCATTAGGCATCCAGATTTGGATTTTATTAGATTTTAGTTTAATGAAAATATTTTTCACAGTAATTACCCAAATTTCCTCATCTTCAGTATATATGAGGCCACTAGGGAATACAGTGAACTGACCTGAGCCATAAATTTGCAAATAACACACAACATAGTATAATTTTCATCATACCCAGAGAGCAGAGTGTGTGTGGTTCATCAGTGCACATCAGAAACTGCAACTTGGATTATAACAAGGTGGCTGAAGTTCAAGTGATGCTAGTGGACTAGGCGAAGGCTTGAGGGTGTAGTAAAAGGGATTGTTCAGCCTCCACTGAGGTTCACAAACTGGGGTGCTCTGATAGTCTCATTTATTCTTGGGAGCAGATCCTCAGCTGATGCAAGTTGTCATATCTCCATTGACTTCAGCTATCTGCCCCCCGGAATCCCATGTGCTGTTGGTAGCAGAGTGCTTTTTCAGTCTGTGCCTGGAATGTTTCCTCAAACTTGGACCTAGCCACAGTAGTCTGTCTATTTAGAAAATTCAGCACTGGAGTAAATATCAACACTATATCTAGTTGAAAACATATTCCTTTGTAACCAAGAACTAGCTTTTCAGTTTAAAATCTTCATTTCAACAATCATACTCAATTATTCATAAACCAATATTTTTGTTATCTGCAAGTACATTTAACATAGCAATTAGTTCTAATATTCTATTAGCAGAGAACACCTTACTTTATTAGCATCTAGCTACAGAGAGCTCTGTACAATGTATGGGTTTGTTTGCTTTTCCACCTCAAAATTTCACCACACAGGACCAGCTGGTAAAAAGAGAAGTAATAATCCAGCAGTAGAACACCCTCGGTTTGAGACTAGGGTGACCAGATGTCCCGATTTTATAGGGACAATCCCGATTTTTGGGTCTTTTTCTTATATAGGCTCCTGTTACCCCCCACCCCCTGTCCTGATTTTTCACACTTGCTGTCTGGTCACCCTAGTTTGAGACTGCCAAATTTAACCCAACAATAAGACAACTATTCAGATACAACTCCCTACTCCTCACAGAAATTGGCTTCTTGAAGGTCTGCACCATTCTTGACAAGAAATTAAAATAGGTTTTTAACACTGAGTAGAACATTAAAAAGCATGACTTTTTTTTGTTTAAAAAAAAAAAGAGCACTAACATGGTTGATAGGCCTGAAAGTTAATGTACTTTTAAAAAAAATCTATTTGTGAAGCTCATGGGGAATATAGTCTTTATAAGAGCTCTGGAACAGACAAGTCAGTGTGCACACTCACGTAAGAAAGGATTTTAGTTTCAAACTTGAGATTAATAAAAAGATTTCATAATGCAAAAGTGGTTTTTAACAAAAGTGAAAAATATGCAACATCCTTCAAATTTCTTTACATATAGACCTTAAAGAACTATGTAGAGGATTAGCTATTTGGAAAGAACAGGAGTACTTGTGGCACCTTAGAGATTAACAAGTACTCCTGTTCTTTTTGCGGATACAGACTAACACGGCTGCTACTCTGAAACCTGTCATTATTTGGAAAGAGAGGATCTTTTCCTTAACTATAACTCATTTTCATGCTCCAAGCCACCAGTTCACCATTCTTAGTTAATTTCACACTGGTATGCAATGAGAGACAGTACAAAATACAAAAGACTATCAAACGCAAGTGGCCTATATACCAGAAAGCATTCATTTTTAGCATAAGCTGGGAACCTAATTGCTTATTCTGTAAATAGTTACCAGTTTTATAGACTATAAAAATATATTCCTCTTCCTTCTGTCCCCGTCCAATTCTATGTTAATTCTTTCAGTACCAATTTGTTTGTGGTCCACTTTTAACTTAAAAACACTGTAGTATCTATTTTTTTATATTATTCCAACTCAACTGAACTTAATTTAGTGCCCACAGAACTGAGAGATCTAACACAGTTGGCTGAATCAGATATAAAAGAAAAAGCCACCATGCAAGCTTCCCATATAGTTCTGTAAAGACACCTCAATTCTAAATTGCTGCAGCCTCTCTCAATAAATTGCAGCCCTATCTTGAGCAGAAATTATTAATCATGTTTGTTAGTGCAGCAAATTTGCAATATGCATATGAAAGACTAGGATAATAGGTAAGTATGAGTCATTTGCTGGAAATTGAGGCAAACTTGGGAACTTATAAAATAGACACGAAGAGACATACGATAAAGGTACAAAGCAGTTATGTAGCAGCTGCAATTAGCATTTTTCCAAAAGGCAGTATGATTAAAAGCTAAATAATTGCAAACGATAGAGCACACACAGACCGGGACCAAGAAAGATTCTCTGACGCCATCCCTACAGCTACTATTGCAAATGCACCATTTATAATAAAGCCCAGGGGAGCCTGCCACCATCTGGCCTTCGTGAAAAGAGACTAGACAAGTTGGGTACTTCCTGAAAACGGCTGCCTGTGCCGCCCCCAGCAGCAATGAGCAGCAGTAAAACCAAAGATAACCTTGGGCTTCCTGAACTGTGAAAAGTTCCTCTCCTCCCCTTGCTCCTGCCCCGTTTTCCAGAGATTCCAGCCAGGCTAATTAGAACTGATCTGAGCGCTTCATCCCCGGGCGGACTGAAAATCGCCAGCCAGGTGTCCCCTCCTAGAGGTCCCCCCCGCAGCCAGCCAGGTTCCCACCCTCACCCCCCAAGTCCCTGCAAGCAGCTAGCCAGTCACCCAGCCCCCCCGGTCCCATCCCCACCCCCTCAGCCAGGTCCGCCCCCAGCCAGCCCCTCCCTACAAGTCCCCCGCCAGGCCCCTCTTCTCCCCCCACCGCACCACCGTTGCTCAGTCGCCCCGCTCCAGCCGGTGCCTCACCTGGAAGAAGAGCGAGCGGGGCCGCCCGCTCCTTCGCAGGCTGCTCTGCCCTCCCCAGCCAGCCGGGCGGGCTCCCTCAGCGGGGCTGGGACTCGGACGCCTTCCAGGAGGAGGCGAGAGCCACCCCCGCCGGGCCCCGGCCACCTCAGCTCCTCCCCTCCGCACGCAGCCCCACGGCCAGCCCAGGGAGAGGGGTAGCTGCGCGCGCCGCGCCGCGCCCGCCGGCAGCAGGCCCTGCTCCCATTGGCCAGCGGCTCTTCAAGCCAGCCCAGCAACCATTTTCTCACTGGCCGGCTAGTTTTGGGGGGATGGGCTCTGCCTACCCAACAGCCGCGACCAATCACAAAGCCGCCGGAGCCAGAGGGGGCGGGGCGGCTACCCCCCCCCGTCCAATTGGAATGGGCGCAGCCGCAGTTCCGCCGGAGCGCGCGCCCCTCCCGCTGCTGGAGGGACGGGTCTCCCTCTCCACTCGCCTGCTGGGGGGAGGCTCCTCTCGCGCAGCGCTGTGCAGCCCGCAGTCCCCAGGCACCGTGATGCCGCGGCATGAGTGCACGGCTGAGCCCCGCGGCAGCTGGGTGCCCTGGGCGTCGCAGCCAGCAGCGACACGGGGGCGAGCAGTACCTCTACCCTCCAGCTGCTGCAGGCAGGCTGTTGTGCCTCTGATTTAAGGCGGAGTGTAAGGGATCCCCATGCTTTGGGGGTAGGGTGACCAGACAGCAAGTGTGAACAATCAGGACGGGGGGGGGGTAATAGGAGCCTATATAAGAAAAAGACCCAGAAATCAGGACTGCCCCTATAAAATCGGGACATCTGGTCACCCTATTTGGGGGAGCCCCGGCCGTTTTCCCCTAAGGATCTGCTGCCCATAAATTAGGCAACCGTTTTTTTTGGTGAGCTTCAAGATCCGCCCATCCCTTGTAACACTGAAAGGGGCAAAAGGAAGGACCCACCCACCTCTTCTTACTAACAATTTGTAAGCAGCCCCTCAATGGTGGCTTTTGGACCCCTCGCTGGTAAAAGAAATGCAAAGGCCCTTCTTTTCATAGAGCCAATGTGCAGCTTAGACCTACAGCTCCTCAGCGTCTTTTTCAGGACCGAGCACCTTTTTAACATGTAATAGATAGCACCACATTAATATAGCTGTATAAGATCTAGTTTAATGGATATTCCTTCCACTTATTTTGGTGCTGCACATCTGTCACAATAAAAAAGCCTTTTGCCTCCAAAAAGAGCTCCACAATTTTATGAATACTCTCCCTTGTTAAAGGCAAACTGCTGCTACAAACCTAGGGTAGACCATGACAAATACAGGGCTTGCAAGAAGATACTGTATGTTTGAAAAGTTATTATTCATGTTTAGGGCAGTCAAGCAATTAAATCAATTGTGATTAATTGCACGATTAAAAAATTAATCACGGTTAATCACGCTATTAACAGAATACCATTTATTTTAAATATTTTTGGATGTTTACTACATTTTCCAATATATTAATTTCAATTACAACACAGAATACAAAGAGTACAGTGCTCACTTTATATTTTTTATTACAAATATTTGCACTGTAAAAAACAATTGTATTTTTCAATTCACCTCATGCAAGTACTGTAGTGCAATCTTTTTATCATGAAAGTTGAACTTACAAATGTAGAATTATGTACAAAAAACCCTGCATTCAAAAATAAAAATCTAAAATTTTAGAGCGTACAAGTCACTCAGTCCTACTTCTCGGTCAGCCAATCATTCAGACAAACAAGGTTGGTTACAGGAGATAGTGCTGTCTGTTTCTTGTTTACAATGTCACCTGAAAGTGAGAACAGACGTTCACATGGCACTGTTGTAGCTGGCATTGCAAGATATTTATGTGACGGATGTGCTAAAGATTCATATGTCCCTACATTCTTCAACCACCATTCCAGAAGACATGCGTCCCTGCTGATGATGGGTTTTGCTTGATAACGATCCAAAACAGTGCGGACTGACGCATGTTCATTTTCATCATCTGAGTCAGATGCCACCAGCAGAAAGTTGATTTTCCCTTTTGGTGGTTTGGGTTCTGTAGATTCTGCATCAGTGTTGCTCTTTTAAGACTTCTAAAAGCATACTCCACACCTCGTCCCTCTCAGATTTTGTACGGCATTTCAGATTCTTAAACCTTGGGTCGAGTACTGTAGCTATTTTTAGAAATCTCACTTCGGTACCTTCTTTGCATTTTGTCAAATCTGCAGTGAAAGTGTTATTAAAACAAACATGTGCTGGGTCATCATCCGAGACTGCTATAACATGAAATATGTGCAGAATGTGGGTAAAACAGAGCAGGAGACATACAATTCTCCCCACAAGGAGTAAAGTCACAAATTTAATTGAAGCATTATTGTTTTAATGAGCATCATCAGCATGGAAGCATGTCCTCTGGAATGGTGGCTGAAGCATGGAAGGGGCATACGAATGTTCAGTAACAGAGGGGAAAACATTATCTAGTATCTGGCATGTAAATACCTTGCCCCGCCGGCTACAAAAGTGCCATGCGAACGCCTGTTCTCACTTTCAGGTAACGTAAATATGAAGCAGGCAGCAGTATCTCCTGTCAATTTAAACAAACTTGTTTGTCTTTGCAATTGTCAGAATAAGAAGTAGGACTGAGTGGACTTGTAGGCGCTATAGTTTTACACTGTTTTGTTTTTGAGTGCAGTTATGTAACAAAAAAAATTCTGGATTTGTAAGTTACACTTTCATGATAAAGAGACTGCACTTCAGTACTTGGCTGAGGTGAATTGAAAAATACTCTTCTTTTGTTTATCATTTTTACAGTGCATATATTTGTAATAAAAATAGAAATATTAAGTGAGCACTGTGCACTTTGTATTCTGTGTTGTAACTGAAATCAATATTGAAAATGTAGAAAACATCCAAAAATATTTAATAAATTTCAATTGGTATTCTATTGTTAGAAGTGCAATTAATCGTGATTTTTTTTAATCACAATTA